TCCATGGCACTACCTTCCAGCCACAGTTCATAAAATTTTAATACATGCACCCGACATTAAAAATTTGTCATTTTATCGATTAGATAATTTTAGGAGGAGGTCGTGGAGTCTAGAAACAAAGATATAAAAAAGTTTCGACTAAATCATACCCAAAAAATTCTCGTGTTTCAAAAAACACAGATCTTATTAACCGCCAGCGAACGTTACCAAACAATAACCAGTAAAGAAAGTCTTACATGTCATGATACCTTACACTACTTTGCATACTTAGTAGACCGTCACATAACAAATAAAGGTTTTAATGGGGAATTTGTGAGAATTAAATCATACCATCTATGATTACAGTAATAATTAAAAGTACAAAACAACTAATATATGGGAGGGATATCCTCCTCTGAATTGATTTCTACTAAATTTGTCGAGGCATTTGCGCCTTTTAAACACGGTCTTGTATTATTCATTTGGTGCACAATTAACTTAAAATTGGATAGATATATATGAGAGCTATATCTAAATTTGATTTGGGCTAATATTACACGTTTGGTGCACAATAAAAGGCAAATCGGACGAAAATATATATTTGAGACATATCCAAATATCGTTGTTACAGAGTGCATATTACGGCTGCGGAGGACAAAAATAACAAATCGGATGAACAATATATATGGGAGCTATATCTATTTCTGAATCGAACTCGATCAAATTTGGCATACTTATTTTCAGGTCGTACGTATATTCTATACTATTCGGGCTAATATTACAAGTTTGGTGCACAATATAAGCCAAATTGGATGAATCGAATGGATGGGACCTATACCTAAATTTTGACCGATTATCTCCAACTTCAATAGGGCCTTAAGTCAAACAAATTATTTGTGCAAACTTTAACTTTGATTTAATTTTACATTAAATTGTTATTTTATTTTGTTTACAAAAAAAATCAAATTTGGACTCGATTTGTATAAAAAAATGCTTCTATTTTTGGGGGTACCTGAAGGCGGGCTGTTCCAAATAATTTTCAGTAAGATTACTTTTTAACTCCTTAGAACGTAAAATGTCAAATAACATTATAATATGATGCAGAAATGTGACAAGAATTGGCCAAATAACCCTTATTCGGGAGGTACGTTGTAAGGGGACCATGCCAAAACATGCATCGACCATATCCATTTTGTCACATTTTTTATTTGTATCCCATCACGGTACCATAACCAAAGATTCATATTGATATCTGCACTGAAAGTATTTTTGGCCGCTGTTCCCATACGACCTCGACCACTGTGCGTTGGGTAGATTATAATTTACAAAAACTATTAAAGATAGTCGTACGTAAATAGTTCAATACAAAATTATCACTAAACTGAAGAGTAAATTCTATGTTGATAAGAATGTAAGTACTTAGCATAAGTAAACTAAAAACTAACTAATATTTAGATAAGCGTGTGAAACACCAATTCCATTTCTACACACATGTTTGGGTCTTTCAAACATTCTGCGGGGGGGCAAAGTGAATAGATGCCACTCTTGTCGGTTTTATGCATCTTCTGATTGAACATATTAGAGCTATTATGCAGGCGGCTACCATCACCATTAGAGATAAGTGCCCGGAGATGTGACGAAAATTCAACCCTTTTAGATTAAGCTGTGAGGCATCGATCGTTTTCAACTGAGACTCTATTTCCGCTAGCCTTGCTGAGTGATTTACCACAATCGGCCCTAAAGGCATGACCGAGAAATTAGACAGCCGGTCTATGTCTGCTACGAAGGATGATTTGTCTTCCACGACCTTCTTCGATTCAAGATTGAAAGGTGTTGAAATTGTTGCTCCTTTTACCCTTAATGTACATCCTGGCTTCATCGTAATGATGCCTTGACTCGGTAGCTGGACTATTTGCTGTGAATCTCGACTGCAGGATACGTGAGCTGTTGTTGGTTGAAAAACTTTGAACAACCAGCGGTTGTTGGCTTGCAGCTTCGTCCATAGCGATTCCATCTTTGTCAGAGAACTGGCATCTCGGTGCATTTAGGGGCTTAAGAGAGTACACCTCACACGAATGGTCATTTGCGTCGACCCATGGCCAATTACCTTCGCAAACATATTCATAATCAATGTACAGCTGACATATGTTTAACTCAGCTTGCGTCATTATATGATAGGCATCCCTGTTGAAATTGTATATCAGATAATGTCCCGATGGCTGTGCTACCACTTTCCCACCGTTCAGCCTAATAGGCAGGGGGATGATCCAATGTAGCTGAGACGTGTGCTGCGTGAACAATGGAATATTAGCTGAAACCATCAGTCGGTCCTCAATTAATGCTGCCTTAGCAGTAAGAAGTTTGTATACCGCTCTAATTTGATCATATTTTTTTCCAGGAAATTTGAGGTGTTCAGGCATGTGCTCTCTTATCTTGGTCATTTCTTCCTGAAGTTGTAACGGCGTAATCAAGGCTGGATTGAGCTTCCCATGGTTTATGTCAATAAGCAGGTTTATCATACTCGACTGTACTCTTTCGTTCTCGCGGATTATTGCGTCCAAATCTTTGGTTACCATGAAAAACCGAATCGACTCTCTATAAACGAAGTTTGATTCTTCCATAGCCGCCGTTATGTTGTTCATCTGATCCTGTATCTTCTTGAAGTTGGTATTTACATCTTCCATAGTAGTGCGCAGAATATTAACCGTAGATTCTACGACCGAGGTTTGTTTTTGCATCATGAACTTCAGGTTATATTGATTTTCCAATAAGTTTTGCAGGCTTTCTTCTATTTTTTTTTCTATCTTCGCATCCATAGTTCCGAATAGGATGTGCTGGAGTGACCCGATGAACTCTAATGGCGCTCGTTTGGGCCTCCTACTAGTTCTCGAGAACAAGAACTCGTTAGTGTCTTGTAGACTCCGAACCTGCCTCTCCATAGTTCTTAGAATATTGTCGCACTGCGGCTCGAATATCTGCAACTTTACGCATAGTGGCATCATCGTTTTTAACACGGTCTCGCATTTCTCCATGGATTCAAAAAAATGGAAGCATATTAAAAACTATGATCATGTTCCATTTCGAGGCTACAACATTCACTGATCCAACCTGGTCCAAGTATAGTGCGGTTGACTCCTGCAGCTCTGTGATATTGGTTAAGCTGTCAGCGACCGTAGATTTTACATGAGTTAAAGCAAGAAGCAAAAGCACTAAGTAGCCTGCCAGATTGCCGGTTCTCTTTCCACTGGAGCTGTCACGTTTTTCATCAGTTTTTACGCCTTCTAATGGGCACAACTTGTTCACGGATCTCTTTATCAACCCTGCTTGGGTTTTTAAAGTGGCGACTCTTACTAACCCATCCGGTCCTGGATGGACATCTTCGACTTTACCTAACGGCCATCGGCCAGGATGTGTTTCCTCATTCTTAACTATCACCACTTGTCCCCTCTGTATATTCTTCTTTTGGGTTTTCCACTTGTATCGTTGTTGGAGTGTTTCTAGATAGTTTGATTTCCATTGCTTCCAAAAACAATTTTTCATTTTCTGCACTTGCTTCCAACGATCTAGGGCTGTAAACTTGTGTTCGTTGCTCGTTTCTGGATAGCTTATCAAGGGAATTCCGATTAGAAAATGTCCAGGTGTGAGGACTCCCACCTCGCCAGCATTATCATCCGTGTTATAAAGCGGCCTCAAATTTAACACGGCTTCGATCTGATATAACCAATAACTCTTCGTAAATGATATTTCATTGATTTAACCGCCGCTTCCCATATTCCTCCGAAGTGGGGACTTGCCGGGGGAATAAAATGCCACTGCACTCCTTTTGTCGCTAATATAGGTGGTAGGGCGTTATTCTCCTTCATGGCGGCCTTTAAATCCCTATCCAAATGTTTAACTGTTCCAACAAAGTTTGTGCCGTTGTCAGAATATATATGACTACTTTTACCTCTTCTGGCAAACAAGCGCTTTAGGGCTGCCAGAAATGCTTCTGACGTCAAACTGCTAACCGGTTCCAATTGAATTGCCTTTGTTGTCATGCATATAAATACCGCAATGTATCCTTTATATGTTTTCTGACCTCTGCCATTTGAACACTTCATGTATATTGGTCCTGCATAGTCCACACCACAATGTGTAAACGGTACTGATACATTAACTCTATATTCTGGTAACATTCCCATTAGCTGGCATTGATTTTCTCGTTTATATCGTATACATTTGACGCAACCCCGATTCAGCCGATTTAAGTTGTTTTTCAATCCAATAATCCAAAATTTTCTTTTTAGCAAATGTTCCACTATCCGATTTCCACCATGGAGCGTTTTCACATGTGCGCCCTTAATAATTAGATCACTCAGCTCTGATTTATTGAGTATTATAGGATGTTTATGATTATACGCTAGCGAAGCTAACTGTAATCGACCTCCAACACGCCATTCTCGTCTAAAAAGGGATTTAATGAAGTCAGCTTGTGTTTGTGATCAATCGGCGTATCATTTCTTAGTCTCGTGACAATTTCTGGAAATTCTTGTTGTTGATTTTCTTCGCTGTTTGTTGCTGTCACTTCAAAACCGTATTGTCGCTTGAATCTCTGCTTATCTCCATCTTCTATAGACCAAACTGAATTCAAAGTTTGATATCTTTGCTTCAAGAATTTTAGAACGTCGTTGATATCTTGAATTTCCGTAGACTTTTGTATTGTCTGTTCATATTGTAACAGACTCTCTTTATCCAATTTGCGCACTATTATGTGTGCCAGAATTGGGTATGCATCTCCTAGTTTCAAATTCATGGATTTGATTCCCTCAATGCTCTCTATAGCTGTATCCAATAACTTCTTGATACTGTGCACTGATGATCCATTAATTCTTGGCACATCTAATAGGCTGTCCACATAATGTGTGAATAGACTCTGTTTTTAACTTTACCTTTGACCTTTTTTCCTTTTTTTTGTATAATTTATTAGATATTTAATTTGTAATTGTATTTCATGTGTTGTTTTATTGTAATTCAAATCTTTGTTGTTTGTGTGTATGTACAAATGTTTGATTCGTTTAATGTATAATTTTGTTTGTTGTAACTTAATTTGTTTAATTTAGAATTTGTTTTCTGTTAATTGTGTACAATGTTGTAATTCAATTTTTTTGGTGTTTGTACAATGTTAATGTTGTTCTTTATAATGTAATGCTGTGTAATGTAATTTTAAATTTAATTTTTAACTAGTTTGCTTCACGATTCGATTTGATGATTTTCGCGGGCACTTGTCGATTCACGGGGCACTCGATTTGTATGTTGTCGCTCTCAAGATGTTTGACGAACTGTCCGGGAATATTCTGGCTTTGGGCTGCCAGAGCTGTTGAATATTCCAGGATTTATTGGAAAGTGCTTGGCTAGCGGCAGCACGTATGCATGTATTTGTTAATATGCACCAATGTACATATTGTGTACCGCTAGCCGAAAAATTTAAAATTCAAACGCACAGTAGCGACCAAAAGTATGGTCACTGACCATACATTCTCCGCCCCCATGACTCCGTGCTAATATGCGTCTTTTCACATCGATGGCATGTTCCTAATTGGTCCAGCGAAGACATATCCCATGTTAGTGTTGTACGCCTGAACATCACCCACTCCAGCCGCGGTACATCCATCTTTTCTTATGGCAGAATACGTGTCTGCGCCTAATTCCAAGTCTATGGGTACATTGCTTCTAGGGTCTGGGTCCGCAAGTGCTTGCTCTGTAAAATATGAGGTTGGGTCATCTAGTATGGGGTCTGAATAAATTCGTCTCGGCAGCTCATCTGTCACAAGAGCATTGACCTTCAGCGCCCATGTTGAATTAGATCGCCGGCTCATTATTTTGAAGGTCGTAAAACGACGATCTTGGTATAAAAATGACCTCAGACCCATCCGTTGGAAGGTAGAGTACCCTATGCGGGACATTACAGCTGACTTACTCAGCAACGCCCGTATCGTATAGTGGGTGTCTATATCTTCGGTGGTAACTCGCAGCATGACAGTGGGTACAAAGACGAGATCCCACGAAAAAGGCGGCTCGTTTATTTGAGCGGGCTGTAGGGTATCCTCGAGCTGTGGCGCCCCATGTAGCATGGTGTGGTGTCGATAATCGCATCGTCGGCAACCCGTAATGCATGGACAATCGGGGGCCAAATGCGATCGTGCCAGACAGTTTCGACAGTATCCCCGCCGCTCAGTGGTTTCGTATCTCTGATACGGAGTTTGGTCTTTAAACCGCTGGCACGAGCTCAGAGCATGGTCCTGCTGACACAGTCCGCAGGAGTATTGCCAATGGCCTGGCCGTGCTCCTCTAGCTCTGGGGGCTGGTCTATTTTCAGAACGGCTACGGTGACTGCGATCAGGACTCGGGCGGCGTTCGAAGTGTCGGGCTGGGTTGCTTCTATTGGGTACTGGTGCTGGTTCGCGGGCTGGGTGGGCTTCTGGTGGATGTGGGTTGCGGTCGGGGCGTTGCGGGCTTCTTTCTGAAATTAAGCGACGGGATTCTCTCCTTTCAGGGCGTCTTGGGCTCTCTTCGTCTCTCCAATTCTGGACTGGTAAATATGCTGCCATCTGTGAAAAAGAGAAGAAGGAGTACTAATTCTTTTGAAAGGAGGGGTCCGACTAATTAGTCGGAAAATAACTTGACAACCTTCGTTATGGGTCGGCTGATGTTGCCACCAGCAGTTTTTATGTCTACTACTCTAACATTTTGATCTGTTCCCTGATGGGTCTTGATAATTCTCCCGAGTTTCCACTCATTTGGTGCCAAACGTTCGTCTTTAATCACAACTAAGTCACCTTCTTTAAGGTTATCCTTTTGATATTTCCATTTCGTACGTCGATGAAGCTCATGTAAATATTCAACCTTCCATCGATTACACAAATATTGGGAGATTATTTTTAACCTTTTCCATCTATTAACCAGACTAATATCTTGATCAGAAACGTCGGGTTCGGGCGGAGCTAAAATCGCGGTACCGATTAAGAAATGACCTGGGGTTAAAGGCGCGTAATCGTTAGGATCTTCGCTAGCTGGACTCAAGGGTCTAGAGTTAAGACATGCCTCTATGCGGGTTAAAATTGTAGTGAATTCTTCGAAAGTAAAGTTCATTTTTGGCATGCTTTTTCTTAAATGATTTTTAAAGGATTTAACCCCGGCCTCCCACAAGCCACCCATGTGCGGAGCGCCAGGCGGGATAAATTTCCAACTAATATTTTGATGAAAATTGTTTTGAACTGTACTATTTTGTATATTTTTCATGAAGGCTAGTCGATCCCGCTTTAACAGATCAACTGCTCCCACAAAATTGGTCCCGTTATCGGAGTAGATACACGACGGACAGCCCCGTCGGCTAATAAATCTAGAAAAAGCGGCAAGAAAGGCATATGTCGACAAGTCACTTGTGGGTTCCAAATGAATGGCTTTGGTAGCGAAGCAAACAAACAAACAGACATAACCTCTCGTAATGAAGCAGGCTCTGCCAGAATAACTTTTAATATTGAAGGGTCCCGCAAAATCTACGCCTGTATTCATAAAGGGTCTTGCCAAGAGAGTTCGTTCAGGAGGTAGTGATGCCATTATTTGATTCTGTGTGCGTTTCTTGTAAATTAAGCATATTTTGCAATTATGTATTGTTTGTTTAACCAACGATTTTAGTCCGAATATCCAGAACTCGGACCTTAATAATCTGGTCACCAACTGATTACCGCCGTGCAATGTGATCTTGTGAGCAAAATCTACTAATAGTTTGCTTAATATTGCTCCATGTGGGAGTATTATTGGATGCCGTTCATTGTAAGTTAGCGCAGGCGATTGTACTAATCGGCCATTAGATCTCATGATCCCTTTTGAGTCCAAAAAAGGATTGAGTGTCAGTAATGAACTAGAAGACGATATTCGAACTTTCCTTCCAAGTGATTCATAGTCGGCTGCGTAAAAGAATTTCTGGGTATGAATTATGCAAGCACGTTTACCATCCTGAATTTCTTCAGCGGTGAGTTCCATTGAAGAGGTTCTAAGATTTCGTCTTTTTATTCCAGTGTTTTTCCAAAATCTTAACGCATATGCATATGATCTGTAAACCCTTGTCAAAGATGAGTAATTTTTTAGAGGGTCACTTTCTTCTTCGAATAGAGTCAGTGCTTTTAGTGTTTTTGCTTCTAAGTTTGTATCATCGGGAATTTTATGTGCTGGCCATCGAACTTTAGGAATTTTGAGCCATTGCGGTCCATGCCACCAGAGTGTGTTGTTTATAAGTTCGCTGGGTGGGCATCCGCGACTGGCAATGTCTGCGGGGTTATCCTCAGAGTCTACGTGATTCCATTGTTCGGCTCCACTATTTTCTAAGATATCAGATGTACGATTTCCCACAAAGGCTGACCAATGGCAAGGTGGTTTTTTCAACCAAGCCAGCACGATTGTTGAGTCTGTCCAGTAATGAACCGAAAAGTTTGATATCTGGAGATTGTTCAATATTGTTGATGCTAACTTCGCCAATAGGACGGCTCCACAAAGTTCTAATCTGGGAAGTGAAATTTTTTTGATTGGAGCAACTCTTGTTTTTGCAGTAAGCAATGACGTTTTGATTTCGTTGTCTTCATTCTGTAGTCGGATATATAATGCTGCTGCATATGCTTTTTCCGAGGCATCGCAGAATCCATGAATTTCTACAACACTATTTTTGGAGTAATTTATCCACCTTGGGACTTTTAAATGCTTAATATCTGCGCTATGTTTAACAAAGTTTTGCCAGTTCAGAAGTGTCATTGTTTTCAGAGTGTCATCCCAGTTTATCTTATCAAGCCAAATTTGTTGCATAACTAGTTTGGCGGTTACTACAACGGGAGCAAGCCACCCACATGGGTCGAATAATTTAGCAATTGTTGAGAGAACTTCCCTTTTTGTATAAGCTCTTCTAATGTCCATTGAGGGTGGAGTGAAATTGAAAAAGTCTCCAGCAATGTTCCAACGTATTCCAAGTGTTTTTGTCGAGGCGTCATCGGAAATATCCAGAGAATTCACTGGGCTAAGCTTTTCTTTGGGCAGGTCATTTATTAATTTTGGATCATTAGCAGTCCACTTCATTAGCTCAAATCCAGCGGATTCCATAGCAGCTGCTAATTCCTTGCGATATTTTATGGTCTCTTCGATCGAATGACCTCCCGCTAAGACGTCATCAACATAAAGGTTTTCCAAAATTACTTTCGATGCTAGTGGATAAGTGTCTTTTATGTCTTCAGCTAATTGAATGAGAGTTCGAAGAGCCAGGAAAGGTGCACAATTAACCCCAAATGTTACCGTTAACAATTCATAATCTTGTATAGGGTCAGACGAAGATTTTCTGAATAATATTCGTTGAAACTTTGTTTGACTAGGGTCCAATAAAATTTGCCTGTACATCTTTGTAACGTCAGCATTATAAACGTGTCTGAAAAATCTCCACTTTAGTACTTGTAATACAATATCTTGCTGTAAAACCGGACCTGCATATAGGTTGTCATTGAGACTTCGCTTGTTTGACGTTGGACTTGATGCATTGAAAACAACTCGTAATTTTGATGTAATCTTTTCAGGTCTTATGACTGCGTGGTGTGGCAGATAATAGTTTGGAGTCTTGTTTATGTCATTTGAAGATATTTTTCTCATATGCCCGAGTTCTAGATATTCAAGGATCGTGCTATCGTATAATTCCTTTATCTCCGGACTTTTCATAAGCTTTCTTTCCATTCTATAAAATTGGGCTAAAGCAATATTTCTTGATTCTCCAATTTCTTCGCATTTTTTGAATGGGAGGGTCACAATATATCGCCCTTCCGAATTCCTTTTGGTAGTTTTCAAGTAATTTTGTTCACATAATACGTCTTCATCTGATCTCAAAACCTGTTTTGGGGTCTCTTCCACTTCCCAAAAACGTGTTAATATTTTTTCCATCGATGTAGTATTGCAAAGTGATATTTGTCTCTTCTTTTGTGATTCATCCTGTAAGGGTCCGCCAATTATCCATCCAAACACAGTTTTTTGAGCTAATAAGGTACCAATCGATTTCATAGGTGTTCCAACTGTAAAGATGAGTGGGCCTATGTCCATCCCTTAAACGATTCTTTAATTTCTCAGTAACAAAGGTAGATTGTGATCCAGAGTCGATTATAGCTCGTGCGTCGTAATAATGACCATTCGCTTCGATTTGAACCATGGCTGTAAAAAGTAGGGTGTCTCCTGGACGAGGATTAACTTTACCGTCATCCTGTAGTGTCAAAGTTGTTATATTCGCGTTTTCTTGATTTGATGTGGACTGTATTAGTGTTGTTAGAGCGGCAGCACTGGTGCTAGGGCGTGCTTCCTCTTGTGCTGTAGTTCCCTTATGTAACATAGTATGGTGCTTCAAATTACATGTTCTGCATCCAAAACGACTTTTGCAATCTTTCACGCCATGGTTAGACGATAAACAATTGTAGCACAGGTGTGCCATTTTGACCACATGAATCCGGTCATTTACGTTTTTAGCGATAAATTGTGGACAATCTCGTATGAAATGATTAGATTTGCAAATTTGGCACGTATTTTGGTACTGAGTCTGGGATCGCTGCTGAATGTTTGCATTTTTACCCTTGTAATTTTGGGCTTTCTGGTTAATATTCGCTTGAAAACTGCTTGTAAATCTCATTTTCTTTGTATAATCGTTTCTGCTCTGAGTCTGCTGATTTGGTTTTGACAAGTTTGGTTTTATGTTCCCTACTGATTCAAGCGTTTTGAATTTGTGGGTCAAAAAATTGTTAAAAGCTTTCCACGATGGTAGAGTCTTGCAATCTTCTATCCATTATCCAAATATAAAAAAACTTTTGAATATTGTCTGGGTCAACAAATACTCTATAAACGCTAGATTTGGATAAATAATTTTTTTTACAATTTCTTCTTCCAAGTTTCTTCAAAAATTGTAATTCCACAGAATTGTGATATATTTAGTAATTTATGCGGCAAATAAGTTTCCAAATTGTTTAAAATTTTAGATATATTCTTTCTTTCATAAAAAGAAATATTGTGGGTCGCAGATTAGATTATCGCAGCACCGATTTTTTAGAATATTATAGAGAATCAGCAAATATTTTTTGGGTCAAGTGCCAGCCGTTCACCAGAATAAAAATTCCAAAACGTTTCCAAAAATATTTAAAAAATTGTTTAAAAAATATATTTTTTTGAGACTTCGACAAAAATGACTTATTCGTAAAAACTGTTGAGTCAGAAATCGCATCTTAAGTTTTCAAATTTGTTCATTCAATCAAAATTCCAAAAAGTAGATAATTTTGTCGAAAATCCAAAAAAAAAATACGCATAAATGTAAAAGTGTCTCTCCAGAAATTTTTCTATGTACCCCAAGATGAAATGTATGATTTAAAAGTGATATGGATTTTTTTTCCAAAAATTTTGAGAAAAAATACCAGAAAAGATAAGACGATGTATTCACAGCCTCATAAGTAATTATGTTCATATGTAAGATTAAAAAATTTGACTTTGCAATTTTTAAGGTTAGTTAACCTTAAAAATGTTGGTGCTTTTCCGCCAAAAGAAGTTTATGATAACTTCTTGTATGTTTAAAAGACAGGTCTTATTTCCAAGAATTCCCAAAATAACTTTTTCTCAAAATGGCGTTTATAATTATTTAGTGATATTCCGATGTGTCTGTGTTGATGCAAAATATTTCTTGTGGATGTATGTATGTGTCAGGGGGTAACCAGCAATTTTTCAAAAGAAAATTTCCACACAAAATATGTACGATAGCAAGGTTATTTGTATTGGTAAATTATGACGCCAAAAAATTGCGCCATAATATTCCACGTAGATTTCGTGTTGTTTTTGGTATGTAAAATATTTAGCAAAATGTCTGATAATTTTTCTAAGTTGTTGTACCGCCATTATGACGCCATAATTTGCGCCAAAATTGGTTTCCAAAGATCGCAAGTTAAATGTAAATGGATTATTCCACAAAACGAGAGGGCAAGTTTCCAAAAACAAGCATTGATTTTTCCAAAACATGTAAATAAATAAGTTTTTTTTTTTTCAAAATGGCCCCAAAATTTTATATTTAATAAGGGTGTGTTGATTTGCCAAAGGTTCCACTGTAAACGGACAGACAAATAAGTTTCAAAAGAGAGTCTTAACTTTCCAGCTTTCCACAAAACGACGGAGAGAAATTCCAAATTTTCCATAAAATGTTCTCAATTTAACAATTTACGGGTTAGTTTCCATAATTTGGAAACTATTTTCCACAATTTCCAACTATTTTTTGAGAGAAATCTAGATGTTTGTGTGTATGTGTAAATAAGGACGTATTTGTGTATTCCCCAGGTCTAAATAAAGGGTCAACATCAGTCCAAGATCCCAAATAACACTGAGTTTGGGTCAATTGTGTCAATGGGTGTCAAATTATATGTGGAAAACAGCGTTTCTATCATCTAAAGGCACAGTGTCGGTGTCAAATTTAGCCGCACACTGCAATCCTTTCTCGATTCCACGCTCAAAAGCACAAAAAACTGTCATTCGTACTCACTTTGCCTCTCTTTGTAAAGTTGGGAATGTGTTGTGTTACCCCTCGGTTCTTGTTCTTCCTTCTGTTGAGTCTGGGTTGTTTTGTTGGTTTTTGTTTGTTATACCCGAACCGTTGTGTCTTTTTAATTGTCGTTTTGCTTGCTGCTTGTTATTTTTCTGTGGATATAATAAATTTATTATTCACTATTTTTTTTATTATTATTATTTTTTAATTATAAAATTAATAAATTTTATATATTTTTTTCTGTTTGGACCCACTGTGGTTTACTTTTTTTTTTCTTTTTAATTTTTCCACTGGTCTCTCATTCGTATATTGTTGCTTTATCACTATTGCTTTCCACTGATCACTGTTCTGTATTCGTATGCATGTGTGTGTGTTTTGCCAGGGTCTACTGTTTTGTTGAAACACTTATTTTTTGTTCTTTTTTTTTTTTTTTTTTCACTTTGTTTTTTGTTATAACACTTTTGTTGAATGTATTTTCATTTTTTGATTTATTGTTCACTCACTGTTTGCTTTGGTTTCTTTTTGTTGTTCAATTTTTATTGTTCACTTATGAGTACCGTTCACTTATGAGTCAGTTCACTTATTATGAAATTTTTATATTGTATTTTAATTTCACTTCACTTGCACTTTTTTTAATTTATTTATTAAAAAACACAATCTGGCTCGTCAAGGACCAAATGTTTTTAACTTTACCTTTGACCTTTTTTCCTTTTTTTTTGTATAATTTATTAGATATTTAATTTGTAATTGTATTTCATGTGTTGTTTTATTGTAATTCAAATCTTTGTTGTTTGTGTGTATGTACAAATGTTTGATTCGTTTAATGTATAATTTTGTTTGTTATAACTTAATTTGTTTAATTTAGAATTTGTTTTCTGTTAATTGTGTACAATGTTGTAATTCAATTTTTTTGGTGTTTGTACAATGTTAATGTTGTTCTTTATAATGTAATGCTGTGTAATGTAATTTTAAATTTAATTTTTAACTAGTTTGCTTCACGATTCGATTTGATGATTTTCGCGGGCACTTGTCGATTCACGGGGCACTCGATTTGTATGTTGTCGCTCTCAAGATGTTTGACGAACTGTCCGGGAATATTCTGGCTTTGGGCTGCCAGAGCTGTTGAATATTCCAGGATTTATTGGAAAGTGCTTGGCTAGCGGCAGCACGTATGCATGTATTTGTTAATATGCACCAATGTACATATTGTGTACCGCTAGCCGAAAAATTTAAAATTCAAACGCACAGTAGCGACCAAAAGTATGGTCACTGACCATACAGACTCCTTTTATTGTCGTACCTTTTACGTAATGCTTCCAAAGCCCCTTCATATGCTGAACTGGTTAACGGCATGTTTCGAATAATCTGCAGTGCATCCCCCTTAAAAGCTGACCGTAGACGAAACAGCTTCTCTTGATCTGAGGCATTTTTATCTTCGTGCACTAATGTGCGAAATAATTCATAAAACGAGTTCCAATCTTCACGACGTCCACTAAACTCTGGAATTTTTATTTTTTCGACCATTACGGATTTTCTTTCTGCCGCTTCTAAAGATGTCAACCATTCTGTTATTTGCATCTGAGCTTTGTTGAAATCTTCTCCGGACTGCTCCCACTGATCTTCCGTAAAATCATTTCCGGCACCTTCTCTCGCCATTTCTGATCGAATGTCGAGCAGTCTGTTCATCTGGACTTCCAGTCTCTCAAGCAGTTTTGTTAAATATAACTTGTCTTTTTTGGTTTCGACCAGCTTTATCATAGAAATATGGTATTACTGCGATATTTCCTACCTCGCGCCGTCTGCAACATAGCATCTAACACTTTGAAGATGGCGTATTGTTGAGAGTACATTTCTTGGCAACTAGGCATTTTGATAAGTCCTTTTAAAAATGTTGTTGTAGTTGATCGATGTTTAATTTTTTTTTTTTTTGTAGATTTGTTTTTTTTTTTTTTGTTTGCGATTGTTGATCAATGTTGTTGTTGAGTTTTGTAGATTGTTATATTGTGGTTGGTGAGTTGTTTAACTGCTGTTACCACACTTGATGTTGTTAAAGTTGTTTGTTCCTAATGTTAAATAGTTTTTGATTGTTGTTGATTCGATTTTAGATGTTTGCTAGTTCCTTGACTTTCGCTAAAGTGAGCGCTCGATGGACCAAATATTTGAGAGGAGAATGAAAATGCTCGTATGATGCTTGATTCGACACCGAATTTATTTTTTCATAATTCCATCTTAAGTGCTAGCTTACAAAATAATTCTTAACCTTACACACTATCTAGCAACCCTTACTTTCTATTCAAGAATACATATGAATTGGTGACAGACCAACGCGACTCATCTTGCGTACATTGTCTTGCCTGCATATCTCTTGTGGGGGTCATAAAATCTTTATTACATGCTCGTTATCTTATGCAGCAGGCAAACACAGCGTTGGGTAGATTATAATTTACAAAAACTATTAAAGATAGTCGTACGTAAATAGTTCAATACAAAATTATCACTAAACTGAAGAGTAAATTCTGTTGATAAGAATGTAAGTACTTAGCATAAGTAAACTAAAAACTAAATAATATTTAGATAAGCGTGTGAAACACCAATCCCATTTCCACACACATGTTTGAGTCTTTCAAACATTCCAATTCCGTTACTCATTCCAAATTTCATTAAAAGTGGAGATACATATCGTGTTTGGTATATCAAATGCTTGAAATCGGCCGAAAATATATATGGGAGCTATATCCAAATTTGAACCTATTTCAATAGTACCACGTACCAAAAATTTGGAGACTGTATCTGTAGTCGATCAATAGATATGTGCATATACAAAATATTCTTTTGGAGGTACCTCCGATTCTGATGCTATATATCCAGTTCCAAGTGGAATTTCAAACATTTATATAGCCCATGTTACTTTCAGGCGATGTTGTAGTATACATAGAAATTTTTGAGAAAATCTGTTCAGCGGTTTTCGAGTCCATAAATTACAAACAAACAAACATTTTCCTCTTTTATAGATATAGAAGAAAGATTATCACTCAAGTTTGGTGTGACCGCGTTAAATTATGGCGACATCATCTATTCAGTTTCACTACCAGATAATTCGGTACTACTGATGTTTTCAGTTAATAGCTTATTATCTTCTGAAATGATATTGTTCGTATAGTTCCATTTATCCAATAAATACATAAAATCTATATATAACAATTTTGTCCGTTGTCATATTTAAAAAAAAGAAAAGCACTACAAATGTACTTTCGAAAATAGTAATTCAAAATAAAAAAATCATGCCAAATAAATCACTACCATTGTGTATTTCAAAAGTCAAAATGAAAATGTTAAAGTTTCACATTTTTACGCTATTTTTTTGGATTGTATCCTTTTCTGCCAAGAGACAATTCCAAATTTGTCTGAATCGTTAAAATCAGATAAACGGTTCTTGAGTTATAAGCGTAGTAACTAACACAACTTTCTTTTATATATATAGACTAGCTGGCCCGGTCCGCGTTGCCGGCCCGTACTTTTAGTCTTTAAAGCATAATAAATCACAGATCTGACTTATGTAGGCGGCACAATTTTGATTATAAGTAATGACTCCATTATAATTACTCCAATTTTGATCATAAGTAATGACTTGATTATGAGTAATGACTCCATGACTAAATATAAATTAATATTCATGGCAAAAATTATAATTACCGTCGGTTTTAGATATTTATATATAATTTGAGTGTTAAATACCTATATGATAAAGAACATCTATAATAGCCCCATGTCAAAATTCAGATCAATTTTTGATATTGTAAAAAGCATTCAAATGAGCTATAATTTAAAATTTGTATTTAAATCCCGTACTGCGTGGTATTCAGTTTTGTCCACCTCATACTTGAACGCAGAATGTTGGCAGAATAGCCAAAAAAAATTACTCTTATGCTCCGATTACCGTAAGATGGGCATTAATTATTTATCATTTAAATTGTGCGGTGGAGATCCAATAAAGTTACTTTATAATTTCGTATTTTTTTCATGTTTCTGCCACAATTTACGTTATATAGACGTACATCCCAAATCTACGTTCCCAACCAATATTCTCTCGGGGGTTACAAATTCAATGGATTACAAAATTTTCTTTTCTGACCACACATTGGTTGGGAAAGTGGACTTGGGGGTATACTAATGTGGGGACTATACTTAAATAAATTCCTATGAGGATAATTATCTGTAAGATGATTTTCTACCCCAAGGGTTTTTTACCCCAGGTAGCCTCAAGACTAAGATGCGTACTTTTCCGAAAAATAAAAATTTATAAGAAGAGGTTTTCTTCCCCCTTAGAAACAAAGATGTCAAATAAGGGCAAAAAAATGAAAAAAGTGGCCAAGACCCCGAAAATACCTTAAATCATATGATGGTGATACCAAAACGTGATAATTTTTTGCAAAGATGGTTTCTTCTTAAATTATCAACATAAGCTAAAATTAGTACGAAAAATATGGTTAAAATGTAGAATATACTTGAAATCGGGTTGTTCCGTTATCAGGGGTTATGACCCATATCATGATCTGCTAAAGCGATTAAAGGTATCTTGAATGTTTAGGAAGAATTTCTATTTTGCGTTCTTTATAGTCGGTATTTGACTGATTGCAGTCCCAATGTATTTTGCATTTTGTGTTCTCATTTGACAATTTATTGTCATATGAAAGGAGCAGGTCCACTTTTTTAAATTAACCCCATAACACTTCTTCGGTCATTTTTGTTTGTTTAAATGTGTTCGCATCTTCCAGCTGAAGCACGATGTAGGTCCTGGAGTAGAAAGCATTTAACATCGTATTACGCCCTCATTTCATTTTAAATATTATTCATTCAGAATTCAAACCAATAAAAACATGTACACTTCAATATAGAAAAAAGAAAACTAATCTTCAAATGGTTCGCTGATTTTTTGCGGCAAATTTTTAAGGTCCTTACATAGTTTGTCGGTAGAATGTACTATTATTTTGAAATTCGATTCCATTGAAAAATTGTCGATTTTTCCCGATTTTAGAATTTTCATATAAAGCGACAACGGATAAAATTGTTATTTATAGATTTTATGTATTTATTGGGTATTACGAATAAATACATAAAATCTATAAATAACAGTTTTATCCGTTATGGCTTTATACTACCCAAAAAAACCTACACATCATATTAGAATTAAAAAAAACACTACAAATGTACATTCGAAAATAGTAAGTCAAAATGGAAAAAATATGCAATATAAAACATTACTATTGTACATTTTAAAAGTCAAAATAAAAATGTTCAAATTTCACATTTTCACGCGATTTTTTTGGATTCTATTCTTTTCTGCCAAGAGGCAATTCCGAATTTGTCTAAATCGTTAAAATCAGACCGGCGGTCTTTATGTTATAAGAGTAGTAACTAACACAACTTTCTTTTACATATAGAGAGATAGATTTAAAAGTAGGCGAGTTCCTCAGCCCCTAAATAAGTACTTAGGGTTGGATGGAAAGCCAACAGTATCTCGTGTAATAATTATCAAACCGATATCTTCACTATTTTGGCAAATATAAAGATTTTAGATAAATCGTAATAGTGGGCGTAAAAGGAAGCGTGGTTAATATTTTTTTCTTTAAAAACCTAACTCGGGGTATGACGAACGTTTGTACAAAAAATTATGCAAATCGGTCCAGCCGTTTTCAACTGATTCCGTTACCAACAAACAGCAATTGATTTTTATATATATAGATATAGAAAAAAGTTGTCCTCTATAGAGAGTGTTTCGTCACCACACGTGGATCCTTTTACAGAATATAAATATAGAATTTTAAAGGTATCGAACAGAAAAAGTGGTTAAAATCGTAAGAAACCCGAACATCGAGAAGCACCGATATATGGGACAATAGGAAATCATGAACCTATGTAGTCAATTGTTTGCTACGGTGGTTGGTATATATTGTGAACATCAACAATGAAATGTTAAATACATCCGTTGAAAAATGTGGCTTAAATCTTCAAAATACTGAATACTTGTACCTCAAAGTATGGGGACTATTTGAAAACGTGGAACTATATGGACAATGTTCTGCCACAGGAGGTAAAATCTATAATGATCTCTAATTATCGAATATGAAACAATTTCATTAGAAAATGTGGCTTGAATGGACAATATACAAAATATCAGGTGGCACAGTTATGTGGGGGCTGTACGAAAACCTAGCTATTTTTCCAATATTTAGTCCTCGATATAACAAACCAATAATAAGTACTTGTACCAAAATTCATCCACTTCTGCCAACTCCTTCTATTTTTGGCCTTAAAAAGTACCAGTATATATCCTCAGGTTTTAACTAAATTTACTTCGACTCCTGTTATGATTATTCGAACGATTAATCCTCCATCGAGGCTGTTCCGAAGGAATGGGCCAGTGTTGTATTATTTCATACCGGACCTAAAAAAATATGATATAAATATATTGGTTTGGACTACATCGACTACCTCTTTCACTTTATATGAAATATGTGATAAACTGTTGAAATATGTGTGACTTACCAGATATAGTGAATCGAAGTATTCCAGTTTCTTCATCTAATACAGATAAAAATACTGGTATGGGCAAAATTTGGTTAAGCAAGTGGTAAAGAATCGCTGACTTGTTTCGCAAGTCATGACAGATAAAAGTTTTGAAAATTGTGACCCTTTGTGGGTTAGGTACCAGAAAGGGGTTCGCAGATGTATATCATCTTCACAACAGACCTTGTGTTACAAAAAATGTTTGTATGTGTGAAATTTGAAGAGAATTGGATGCTTATTTCGATCCGTTTGAGCATTTTGTTTTCCAAAATCTTAAACCCTACGTGGGGGAGGCACCAGAAGAAATACCATTTTGTAGGCAGCCGTGAATCCGGAGATAATCAGTGGTGCATGATGAGTCAGTTTGTTTCGGTTATGCTTGAGAGAATTTGGAGTAGTGAAACTCATGATTTGTTTACGATATTATCCGATACACTACGTAGTTGCTGTGATTCGAAGCCGGTCTCTGGTGTCAAGTCCTAAGGACTAGGGGAAGACACAATCTCACATAGTGTTTTTGTGTATTTTGTATTGAGGTTTTAAGTCAGTTACAAACATGGGTGGTATTTTCTACTACTAATTTTCTACAAAAAACTCCTGCTCGTTAAATATATGGTTCTTTTATCAGCATAATAAAACCGATGCGTTCTATTAGTGCTCATGAATTTCATATACATCTTTCGGAGAGGCACGCTTTGATATTTTTGCAATGTTTCATCCAACTCAAAAAAGATTTCACGGCACCAAATTTCGTTACCAATTGTGCTGCTGATTTTAAATTCTACGTTAGCTTCTATGGCTGAGGTTTGCAGAAACGAATTTTCTTGGTAAACTCCTTAATTTGGACTTTTAACCCATTATCTTCCCCACCTATTACTGCACGTTGCCTTGAATTGCTGCATTTACAGTATCACCCATTATTTGTTTGATGGCGCTTGGGCGCCACTGTGTTGTTTATTTTATTTATTAGCTTTTATTTATTTTTTTTATTGAATACAACTTATTATCACATATAATATTAACTTCTTAATAAATATTTTTTAAAGGATTTGAATATATTGACTGTGCAACAATAGATACTTTGTATGTGTGGTTAACTTATATATTTATGGATAAGATATTTTATCTGTTATAAATAATAGACCGGTATCTTCCAATAGTTGCTATTTTTAATTATTTTAATTTTATTTTGCCGCTGAAATAGCCGGAATCTGGCATTTCCGATTTTTACGGGGTATGTACTCACTCGAACAAGGTCGAGCATGTCCAATAACTCAGGACATTACATCATATGAGATGTTAATCAATTAAGGTTTATTAAAACTAGTGAGTTAAGATATCTTATTATAAATTTAACTAGAAATTCTGTTGCGCGTACTACAAGTAAAGTTAACCGGATTTATTATGTAAACAGGTTTTTAATCTTTTATATACAGATACATAATAAACCGTGGTACAATAATTCAAGGTAACCTAATTTCAAATAATAATTTTCTTGTCAAATTTAACTGCATAGAAAACAGTTGCCTAATTTATTTATATACAAACATCTGGAAAATGCGATTTTGTCAAAAGAATGATTAAAAAAAGTTGTAAACATACGATTGTCAAGGTTGGCTATTTAATTCTGCCATATAGCGAAATAAGATCCAATAAAATGGTCAAAAATGTTGTTATTTATTTTTCTTTCGACGCCTATATTAATTTGAAACTCGACAAACAGAATCTGTGCCGTATGACATTTGCTTAATGCATTTCCGGGTTAAGCTATTTATTTTAATAATGCACACAACAAGGGAATGCATGTCACATTGCAATGCATTAGGAAGGTCAAAAAAAATATTCGTTTTAAATGAATATATGTGGATTTGAAAATTGTTGCTACTTTTTAAAAAGTGTTTGTTTGGTATAGATTCGATTAAAATGAAGGGGTGTTGAAAGATAACAAGTAAAAAAGCAGTAAATTCGACCGGGCCGAACTTTGAATACCATCCACCATTTGAAAAATTTCAAAAAAATAAAATAAAATCCATTAAAAAATTCAGTTAAAATCTTTAAAATACCTAATATCGGAAGGTGCCGATATATGGGAGATATACGATATTGTGGACCTATATAGACAAATCTATGTCTGGGGGTAAAGTACTCATAAAGAACTTCTTTTGTAGATTTTCAGACAATTCCGTTGAAAAATGTGGCTAAAATCGACAAAATACCTAATATCGAAGAGTTACCGTTATATTGGGGCTATACGATATCGTGGGCTTATATAGATAATAGCTGAACCCGGTGCACTTCGCTACCCCTTTTGATTTTATATGCATTCACAATTTTATTTACGAATATATGTTGGTTAAAAAAAAAAAAAAACAAATTTAAAAATTAAAAAAAAAAATATTGCACTACTTTAATGCGTAAATAACCAAAACCATTAGAAAAGCAGTAACATGACATACATAAACGAAGGGTTTGTCCTTCGGATTTATTTATTTCATAGCAAATACCAAGCGTGCAGTAAACTGCAATATTTTGAAGTTGAGTGGCATTTCTATTGCAATTAGTGAATTTGAGATAGCAACATACTTCGCCGTAATAAGCGTATTTCAAATCAATTGTTGTGTTGGTTTTTAGTGTTAGCCTAAGGCGTTGTGGGTCATGGCTTCTTATTAAAATCCTATCCCAATCTGATCCGATTTAAATATAATTTCAAAAAAATTACTTTTACTCCAAACTCCGCCACACCTTTTATATTTCATTGAAATTGGTGCGTCAAATATGTGAAATCGGCCGATAATATATATATATATAATCTTAACTAATTTCCAATTAATTTGTCACATTTATTATTGTAACCAAATTCCGCCACACATTCAGAATTTCATTGGTATCGGTCATATATATCATGTTTGGTGCATAACATGTATGAAATCGGCCGAAATATATATGTCAGCTATATCCAAACCTCAACTGATTTCAATATAATTTGGCAATTTTTTCCGGTGCCAGATTTTGTCTCTCTCGCTTTGGGTGCATCAAATATGTGAAATCGGCTGAGTATATATATGGGAGCTATAATCAAATCTGAGCGTATTTGAATATAATTTGTCAAATTTATTTTTGTACCAAATTTAGGCACTCATGCCGAATTTCATTGGAATCGGAAATACGTATCGTGTTTTGTGCATCAAATATGTGAAATCGGCGGAAACTATATATGGGAGCTATATCCAAACCTGAACCGATTTTAATATAATTTGACTAATTTATTTTCTAATCAAAATCCAGTTACATATTCCAAATTTTTTTGGAATCGAACATACATATCGTGTATGGTGCATAAAATACATGAAATCGGTCGAAAATATATATGAGAGCTATATCCAAATCTGAATCGATTTTAATATAATTTGACAAATGTATATTGGTTTTAATTTCCGCTACACATTCCAAATTTCATAGAAATTAGAGATACATAGCGTGTTTGGTGCATCAAATGCTTGTAATCGGCCGAAAATATATATGGGAGCTATATCCAAATCTGAACCGATTTCAATATAATTTTAAAAATTTATTTTCGGATTAAATCCCGTCACGCATTCCAAATTTCATTGGAATCGAACATTCATATTGTGTTTGAGGCATCAAATGAACGAAATCTGTCGAAAATATATATGGGAGCTATATCCAAATCTGAACCGATTTCAATTTAATTTGACAAATTCATTTTGGCTCCCAATTCCGTTACTTATTTTAAATTTCATTACAATTGGAAACACATATCTTGTTTGGTTTACCAAATACATGAAATCGGCTGAAAATGTATATGGGAGCTATACCCAAATCTGAACCGATTTCAATATAATTTGACAAATTTATTTTCGGATTAAATCCCGTCACACATTCCAAATTTCATTGGAATCGAACATTCATATTGTGTTTGAGGTATCAAATGAACGAAATGGGTCGAAAATATATATGGGAGCTATATCCAAATCTGAACCGATTACAATATAATTTGGCAAACTTATTTTTGTTCCAAATTCCGTTACGTATTCCAAATTTGGAGACTGTATCTTCAACCAATCAATAGATATGTGCATATAAAATCTGAATTTTTGGGAGGTACCTCCGATTCTGCTGCTATATCTCCAGTTCCAAGTGGAAATTCAGAAATGTATATAGCCTATGTTACTTTCAGGCAATGTTGCAGTATATATGGAAATTTTCAGGAAAATCTATTCAGCGGTTTTGGAGTCTATAAATTACAAACAAACAAACATACAAACATTTTTCTCTTTTATAGATATAGATATCTTACAGGGGATAAAGTACTCACAAGGAACTATTTGTATGGAATTTCAGACAATACCATTGGAAAGTGTGGCAAAAATCATCAAAATACCGCTATATGGGGGATATACGATATCGTACCACTTATGGGGGCTATACGAAATCGTGGACCTATATAGACAATTCTCTTTCAGGGGGTAAAGTACCCAAAACAAACTCCTTGTGTGGAATTCAGACAATTCCGATGAAAAATGTGGCTAAAATCATCAAAATGCCGAATATCGGGGGGTACCGTGATATGGGGGATATACGATATCGTGGACCTATATGGACTATTCTCTTTCAGGGGATAAAGCACTCAGAAGGGACTCCTTGTGTGGAGTTTCAAACAATTCCGTTGAAAAATGTGGCTAAAATCATCAAAATACCGAATATCGGGGGGTACCGTTATATGGGGGCTATACGATATCGTGAACCGATATAGCCCGAACTTGACCTGCCTGCAGACAAAAGACAGATCTGTGCAAAATTTTAGCTTCCTATCTTAATTCGTTTTGACTGTAGCGTGATTACAACAGACGGACGGTCATGGCTAAATCGTCTTAGAATTTTACACTGATCAAGAATATATATACGTTGTTGGGTCTAAAATGATGAGTTACAAACGGAATGACGAACTTAATGTACCCTCCATACTATGTATGGTGGAGGGTATACAAACTCGTATTAATGTGTATTGAGACATAATTACAAAACTGAGCCTGTTGTTTGAATAGTGTGTAAAAAGATTGTGTATTTACAGTTTATGTAGTTCCCTGATTCGATTCTGGGTGTTTCAATTTTTGAGTAATAAATAAATCAATCTATTAGACCAACTGGAAACAATCAAAGTCAAAAGTGCTACTAATAAAGGGTTTTATTTGTGGCCAAAAGTCAGATGTTAAGCTAACTGCATTCTTTTAAAAGTAAGGCATTTTTTGTGTAAACTAGAATAATGCTTTGAGAAATAAACTATCTTTAATTTGGTTCAGTTTTATGTATTCTTATAAATGTAATAAACTAATTATTTTGCTTTTGATTATTTTTCTTAGGTTTCAAGAAATAGTGATGTTACTTATGTAGATAATAGCTTACAGCATCATAAAAAGCAATTGGATATTTTAAAGGAGGATCGTTTGTGCCATTTAAACAATCGAATATGTGGCAATGCAGAAATGCAACGCTTTGGGAAGCAACATCAAACGCAGTCGTTTGCTCCTATTTCCTTGCCTCCTTCGCCGCCCCCATCATCATACAACATTGCTGTACCGGCTATAACTGCCTGTGATCTTCCATCAGCATTGTTACCACATCCCGCAAAGTTTGCCATTCAACCAATGTGGTCAACTGCGGCCATGGCAGCTGCCCACATACAGGCAGCCTTTGCTGCTGTCTCTGTGGCAGTAAATAGTGATCCAAACAATAGCAGTGACATCAGTGGTAAACTGCCTAAGGTCGAGTCTGTTTTAGCAGAGGATTGTGCGTCATTGGTCCAAGGTTCTTCTCGTATAGGAGAGACAGATGTAATCTCGTGTGTCGATTCTGATTTGAAGCTCAGTGATGTTATCACAAACGCTGCAGCTTTATCGCCTACACATGTGCGCAACGTGATAAGCAATAGTCGATTGGTTGTACCACCACCGGCCCCTGCTTTATTGTTGGCTGACAATCCAACAATTCCCTTAACGACAGAAAATGAGCCTGGTATCGATGATGAAATAGATGGCGGTTCGGATGACATCAGGACTGAAGATTGTAAGGCTGCGTCTCAACAAAATTTAACCGTATTGACAAATGAAGCGAAGACTTACAATAGTGGTGGTACAGATGTGCCTTTGAATTTATCAAAACCCCGATCATCTTCGGGCTCTCAACAAATACAGCAACATCAACTTCAAGAGAGTGGAAGTCTTACCCCTGTTTCAATGGAAAATGTATCGAGCAATTGGCAATCCATGTCGAGCGAGGACACAAAACTTTTAATATGTCGCCTATGGAACATACCTCCAATAGAGGAAGTAGAATCTGCTTCGTCGATGGTGCCAGTGTCTCCCATTGTACCAGTATCCCCTATTGTCCCCATGGCTACAAGTGATAGTGATAATATATCTATGCCTCAGACAATGTCGAGTAGGGGAAGCAAACTAAAAACCTACCCATGTTCTACCAAAAAACCAGTTTTGGAGCAATTGAATGTACTGCAAAATGATCAGCATGAGGTAGAAAATCAGCATTCTATTTCCTTCATAGCCAAAGAGGGACGATCCACTACACGCGAAGGACACAGCTATGGCCATTCTTACCATAAGCCACATATCAAACGACCTATGAATGCATTCATGGTGTGGGCCAAGGACGAACGCCGTAAGATTCTAAAGGCTTGCCCCGATATGCACAACTCAAATATTTCCAAAATATTGGGTGCCCGTTGGAAGGCAATGTCTAATATTGACAAGCATCCATATTATGAGGAACAATCGCGTCTTTCTAAACTGCATATGGAGAAACACCCTGACTATCGGTACCGTCCAAGACCAAAGCGTACTTGTATAGTTGATGGAAAGAAAATGAGAATCTCGGAATACAAAACGCTTATGCGAACAAAACGAGCAGAGATGCGGGAAATATGGTACAGGGATGCTGCGCCTGGTGTAAGTGTAACACCCCCAGGCGATAGGAGATTTTGCCACATGACGCACTGTGACGACGATGATTTCCAAGCAACCCTGATGACCGCCGGGTGTAAACCAAAGGATATTGCAAAATTTGAGAAATCCTCCTCGGACATCGTTGGCGATTGTAGTTCAAACACTTTGGAATGCTCCAATCCCAATGATAATGACATCAATGCCGACCGTTACCAATCAAAATGTCTCAATCGTCCTGGGATCTCTCATGATGACAATAATTTAAACATGCATTCACGTGACGATGACTGAGTCGGTGGCGAGTTCAATGATCGCAAATCACAACAATTATACTTTATGGTCAAGGATAGGGGACTAGAAATTCAAAGCATGAAGATCTATATCTTAATCTTAAAAAGCAAATTTTATGGCGCTAAACCTAAAATAATGATAAATAAATTGAAAGAAATTACCAATACATTCAAATAAAAAAAGAAGTGTTTAATAGAAAAAATTTTATCGTATACTCTTAGCGCTAGCAGGTGGTGCTGAATTAGTAAATTTAATAATATTTTAAACCTACGAAAGGCAATATACTTGCAATGCGCTCGAGCGCACTACTGCTAGCATTCAGATGTCTATGTTCTTTTTCTGCGTTATAGAAAATCAATTGTTCTAAAATATGTGTTTATATACGCAGCTACGTTGCGAAAAAGTAGTAAAACGTACAGTCAAATTAAAACGAACACTTGAATAGAAGTAACTTGAATTTTTACTAGACAAATTTGGGCGTGAAAAAGTAGAAGGTGATATGTTGCTTTTAAAACCTCCTCACTTACCATATATTCCTTTTTCTAGTCTTATCATTAACTCATAAAAACAAAACTGATAACAACCAAAAAAGGAATGACAGTTTCAAGCGATCTTCGCCTTAACAAGGCAAAACTCAAAAATTCAGCCGAGCCTGGCTGTGGGATTTGAACCGCGGACCTCGGTGTGCAGCCAACTAGAAGTTGCCGTCTCTACGTTCAGAGCCATTAACCCGTCTTCCTAAAGCAGCACTAAAACAAGTGTATGCATTGGAAGCAATGTAGTTGTTGTGGACAAAAAATCCATCACTACAAAAACAAAACTTTGCTGTGAAAAAGATCTGCCAATAGAACTTGAGTCGAACCTGGAGAGTTTCTAGTGTATAATTCGCATATGCTAATTTGCAATAAGTTCGAAATATATACTACTTTCCAGAGAACGGCCCTTGTAAGCCATCATCCACACCAAATATGCCTGATGAGCCGCTTAACCAACGGCGAAACGCGTCGCATAGTGGTGAGTGTGTGATAGTGTCTATCTGGCTTTCCTTTTCACTGCAAATTTCAGATCATTAAGCTCGTCTCGAAAGAGGAAAACAAACACATAAATCATAAAACATATGATCTTCGCCTTAACAAGGCAAAACTCGAAAGATATTAATATTTTTAGAAAATTTTGAGAAATGGTTTTTTGTCGGCCTTTTTATTTGATTTATAAATAATAAGCTTTTTTCGAGCTTTAGGCTATTTTCGGATTTATTTTATTGATTACAATAAGATGCTCCCAATATTTCGCAATTATCAAATTGCATCTTCAGGGGCAATCTATTTTAGAAAACATAATTATTAATATCACAGCATTTTGTTAGGGGCATAATTATATTCAAAAAAAGAGATTTCTTACATTTACATAAAATAGTCAGATTTACTTAACAGCTAATGTAGTTTTTACTACCAATGTCTGGTGTTATTATTGCACAGATTATATCTATATATTGCACGATCTCTTCTTTGTCAAGTGTCGATAACAATAAGCTGCATTATCGGTATAACTTTTGTAATTGATCTTTTTGTTTGTTGGTATGTTATTTATATGCAGCATCGCCAATGTTAACCTACTGTTGTAGTTATTCTCCGTCTGTAATACTCGTATTTTGTCAAAGTTTGGTATGTGATTGTTAAGTTTACAGTGTTCTGCAAGTACTGTTTTTTGAATATTGTTTTGGTTCCTTAATTTAATGTCTGACTTATGTCCCGATACTCTAGTTTTTAATTTGTTTTTTTTTTTTTTGTTGCGGTACCTACATATATTTTTCCACATTTTTCGTCTTTTGTTCCATCACATTCAATGCTATATATTACATTGTGTCTCTCACTTAACGGAATTCTACTTTTGGTATTAGTAAATAAACTTTTTAGTGTATTGTTTGTCCGTGTTGCTACTTGCAGTTTATTCTTGTCATATAAATCGGAATTTTGGAATTTCTCAGATTATCCAGGAATATAAATCATTGATTTTTAATATATTTCAGATTTGTCCTTAGATTTCGGTATGTTATATTTATTTATTAATTTTTCAACTAATAATTTTTAACAGTATTTCTCGTATTTTGTTTTTATTAGTTTCGTGGAATTTATGGTCGCTAATATTCAATACTAGCTGGCCCAGTCCGCGTTGCCGGCCCGTAGTTTCAGTCTTCAATGATTGCTTTTTAAAGTATAATTATTTACAGATCTGGCTCATATTAGTGGACCTTGGAAGTAAAGTTATATGGGAACTATACCAAAATGTATACCTATGATGAAATTATTCTATATTTGTTAAAATTATTCTGTGTTTCAAATTTTTAGCCAAATCGATTGATTTTTTTTTAGAAATAGTTGAAATCAAGAGGTACTTTTATATGTGGTTCTCTTTTTCCTTAGAAACTAAGATGCTAAATAAGGCCAAATCAATTGAAAAATGTGTCCAAGACCCCGGAAATAGCTAAAATCAGGAAACACCTTCATATGAAGGCTATACCAAAACGTGGGCCTATATTGATTATTTTTTTTCAAGGATAGGTTTTCTTGCTAAGAACTCAAATCACTAAAATTTGCCGACATTACTATGAAAAATGTGGATAACATATAAAAAATACTTGAAATCGGGATATACCCTTAAGTGGGTGCTATACCAAAACGTTGACCGATACGATCCATATTTTGTACAAATAGTTCTACATACATCCCATAAGCCTGTATCGAATTTGAAAGCTCTACTTAAATGTTGCGAAATATAGAGCAACATATTTGAGGCCGTTTTGGTATGAATAAAGCTATATAATGGGTCATAAAATATTTGGCCTGGGAAAGTAAACCCCTGTAGGGATTTTGATCTACTCACCGAATACTATTCATTTAGAATTTACCGACCGCTATATTGGCTCCCTATTACGCATAGTCACCCGTTTACTGGTACCAGCGATTTAAAGTATATTTAAGGTTGTGGAAGAATTTCCAGGAGGATATAATTACTTTTCCTACTATAGTTCCAATTTGATCTACTATTTTGTTCAGTCCGCATATTGCAGTGACCCTTTATTTTCGAAAATTCATTGACATCCGCCCCAAAGAATTTTGCACTTTTATTCCTCATTAGACGGATTTTAACTGTATGAAAGAAGAAGGTTTAGGAGTTCGCGTCTTACAGCAGAAGCGCGATGTAGGTCCTGAGATGTTAATTCTTGTCAGAAAGATCAGTATTTAACATCGTATTGTGCTTTCAATATCTTTCATTAAGAATTAAAAAAATAACAAATTTTTACGTGATGTTTTTTTTGGATTTTATCCTTTTCTGCCAAGAGACCATTCCGAATTGGCTATCCTTTTAAAATTCGATTCCATTGAAAAATTTTTCTCGATTTTTCCGGATTGAAGAATATTTTCGAATTTTCTCTTTTCTATCGCAAATTTTGCGAAGTTTAGAGAGAACATATTTGAGGTCCTTTGTGTATGGTTTGGGCTATATAATGTACCTTAAAAAGTTCGACCTGGGAACCCTAAACCCTTTCAGGATTTTGATCTACTAACCGAATACTATTCACTTAGAAATAACTTGAAGGTTTCAGTAAAATTTTTCGGAGTATATCATTTATTTTCTTACTATATTTTCGATTCGATGTACCATTTTGTATAGTCCGCATAATGAATTCAAATGAAAGGATTAGGTCCATGTTTTGATATGACATATTTGTCGGTCATATTTTAGTTTGTTTGGAAAGATTACCATTTAACATCGTATTGTGCACTAATCTCATTCTTTTCCGTCATTCAGAATTAAAAAAAAATGTAATTAAACTTCAACAAAGCATGTCAAATTGAAAAAAAATTATGCAATATTTAAAATTATGAAAAATTAAAAAAAATATATATGCATCACAAAAAAATTATTGGCGTATTTTTTACGCTATATTTTGGATTTTATCCTTTTCAGGCCAAGATACCATTCCGAAGCCGTTCTTGAGTTAAGGCGTAGTAACCACCATTTATTTGTTCACATTGAAAAACATACATGATTCTTGAACTTGTTCGCGGATTTGTTACAGCAAATGTTTAAGATCCTTAAGAAGTTAGCCAATAGACTGGGTTATCATTCGATTCCATTGACAATTTTGTCTTGTTATTTTGTTATTTCTTACCGATTTTAAAATTGAAATTATTCTTTCACTTAGGTATGACCTCGTTAAATTATTTCAAAATCATCTGTTCAGTTCGCCACTACAAAATTAGGTACTAAAATTCAATGTAACCCAATTCTCAAAAAATCGCCAATAAAGTTAATCAAATTGAAAAAAAAAAAACGTTTGAACACGCTATTGTTTTTTTCAATGCATAAAGTCTATAAACAACAGTTTTGTCCGTTGTCGATTTATACTACCCGAAAAATACTATACAGCATATTAGGATTCAAAAATTCGAAAATAGTAAGTCAAAATGAAAAAAAAAATCATGCAAAATAAAACATTACTATTGACATTCCAAAAGTCAAAATGATTTTTGCTCTATTTTTTGGTTATTATTCTTTTCCGGCAAGAGACAATTCCGAATTTGTCTGAATCGTTAAAATCAGACCAGCGGTTCTTGAGTTATAAGCGTAGTAACTAACACAACTTTCTTTTATATATAGATTCTGTTTATAAGGTTTCTACCTGTGTTAAGAATCATTTGTTTTGGATGTTTCAAGTGGAAATTTAATATGCCGTTTTCCAAGTATACCTGTGGACCTGGGACTAGAAATAATGGAGGAAAGATGGAAGGAAATTAAGGAATACACCAATATGTCAAAGAGCTTATTTTTAAGTATTCTGAAGTTTTGTATTAAAGATAACCGATATTTTCAATATGAGGACAGAATATACAAACAAAAGAAAGGACTACCAATGGGTTCACCCGCTTCTTCGATTGTAGCTGATATAGTGATGGAGAAACTACTTGACACCTGCATGGAAAAACTTAAGACGA